CAAAACAACCCATTTACTAAAAATAAATTTTTACATAACCATTCTTTTTAAAAACGTTATTAAAACATAAAAATCAGGATGTGTACGGTCACGCCTTCGCATTGTCACAGTCCTCTGAAGTAACTGAAACAAAACTAAAACTGTAAGCCAAAGCTTAGTGAGTTCCCCCTAAGTACCAACACACAATACACATATCATATACAAACAAGCATGTTGGGTCCAATCAGTCATCAGACTGGAATACCCACGGGTCCACAGGCATCAGGCTGGATTACCCCTGGCCCAACCAGTCATAGGACTGGAATGCCAATATACAACAGGTCCACTCAGTCTTCGGACTGGAATACCAATATACAATGGGCCCACTCAGTCGTCGGACTGGAATACTCTCGGGTCCACTCAGTCATCGGACTGGAATACCCGTTGTCTGTAGACTCACACACATAGCAGTAAAGTCTCAACCCAACACAATATGTTGACATATAATAGATAACAATCAGATTCAACAGAGAGACAATCATGCAGCCAGAAATCACAGGTAGTCCTACAGATATACCGGTCTATGCATATCAACAGCTATCATATAATCATACAGATCTACCCCATACTCAACATATCATTAATCAATGTATACAGGATATCAATACAATTGGGCCAGCCTTGGTGCCTTCGACCCATAAGTACTTTGAGGAAAATTCACCTCAAAGACTGCAAAAAAGTTGATCAATACTCTGCTCCCAAATACCGGCTCAACCCAAATCTTAAATGTTAAAACATTATCCATTAATAATATTTTCCCCAAAATACCCTTGGTCAAACTTGGTCAATGGTCAAAAGTGAAGTCAAAACCTAGCCCGGCCAACCCGGCCGAGTTGACCCAGCCGAGTACGTTGGATGTACTCTTTTCTATGCGAGGTGTACTCGATGGTTGACCAGATTACGAGATGTTGACCACGTACGCACATTGTACCACTTGGTACGCCCAACATACGTGCATGTTCAACCCTTTCCCCAATAAGGGATTAATACTCCAAAGTTTCATGTCCAAAGTCAGATCCAAAGCTAAAATACCCTCAAGAGTCATAAAGTTTCCAACATTATGACTTTGAATGCCCATTAAGTGCTTAATACACAAATTCTCAATAACTTAATGCCTTAAGACCTTTTATAGCATGCATGGAGTAAAACTAAGCATCAAGACCACATTTTTATGACTCAAGACCCACCATAAGGTCTGAAAGGACGACTTATTAGGTCAAGAGAATGTCATGTTCAAGAATCACCATATTTGGGACCAAAAGTGCCCTAAATGAAGAAATTGCTAGATCTACAAGATGGAGTGATCAAGTTGAGAACTTTATACCTCCAGGAGGTTGCTAACAAGAATATAATCTCAGATCAAAGATACTTCCAAGCTCCAAGCTCTTCTCACCACCTTCTTCATCTTCAAGAACACTACGAAAGTACACCAATTGGCTCGAAATGCACTCTTCTCACTTAGGGTTTGCTTGGGGTCGATTTTCACAAAGGGAGGCTGGAGAGGGAATGAGAAATGATAGATAATGATGTTTATATATGGACCAAACCCTAAGAATTAGGGTTTAAACTTTCCCTAGCGTACACAACGTATGCTCAACGTACAAATCCAGGTCAGAATTACCATATTGCCACAATGGGCCATTCTAGCAACCTTCCTCAAACCCAAGGGTCAAAAATGCAATATTCTTTCATAGTTAGGTTAAAAGTGAAAATACCTTATCATTGGGATGTTACAATTCTACCCAATTTAAACTAGACTTCTTCCTCGAAGTCAGCTGCCGCGAATAACTTCGGATAATGCTCTCGCATCTCCGCCTCCAGCTCCCAGGTCCACTCGGAGCCTTTACTATGTTGCCACTGAACCTTTACTAAAGGTATCTCTTTGTTGCGTATAATCTTCATCTTCCTTTCCACTGTCGCTACTGGCCTCTCAACATAATTCAGGCGCTCATCGACCTGAATATCATCCAAGGGGACCACTGCATCATTGTCCATCACGCACTTCCGCAACTGCGAAACATGGAAAGTGTTGTGGATCTGGCTGAGCTCACACGTCAAATCCAACCGATAGGCCACCCTAACTACCCTGGCGTTCACTTGGAATGGTCCAATAAATCGGGGACCCAATTTCCCCCTCTTCCTGAAGCGTAACACACCCTTCCAGGGTGAGACCTTTAGTATCACCATATCGCCGACCTGAAATTCCAATTCTGATCGGCACCGGTCGGCATAACTCTTATGTCGACTCTAAGTTATCTACAATCTCTGCCTGATCTTATGAATTAGCTCTGTGGTCTGAAGGACTATGTTCACTACTAGAAAAACAGCCTTTTACGACGCGCAATGCGTGTCGTAAAACGCTCAAACGACATGCAAATGCGTGTCAAGGAAGGCCCTGTGATAATGAGAGACGACACGCTTTTGCGCGTCGTCTATTTATGACGCGCATTTACGACGCGCATTTATGACACACATTTACGACGCGTAGTTACGACACACAATGTGTGTCAAGGAAAGGGCCTGTCTTAAAGGAAGACGACACGCATTTGCGTGTCGTAACCTTACAACGCGCGTTTAGGACACGCATTGCGTATCATTAAAGCCCCTGTCATAAATGAAGATGACACGTATTTGCGTGTCATAATTTTAAATGTTTAAATATATATATATATATATATATATATATATATATATATATATATATATTTATTTGATAGAATTACTAATTTTCAAATTAAACAACAGATTGAAATTATCATAATACTAAATAAAATACCATACATAAGAACGATAATTCATTTCAAAAAAATATCACATGTCAAACAAGTTACCTAACATTACATGTCAAACAACACTACATGTCAACACTAATAACACTTAAAAACATGCTTTTTCCTGCATTTGGAGCACCCACTATTCCTATATCAGTAACCAACTTTAGGTCCAATTCCAACCACCTGTAAAAGAACAACATTGTAAAAAAACAACATTAGAAGATCAACATTTGCTTGATTTGATGATTCAACATTAGTTGCCCTTGGACTTATTCCTGTTAAAAAGATACATATGAGAATATATATAGATATAGCTTATGTAAAGGCAAATTGAGTTAACTTACCAGCATGAATATGTATGTTAATGTGCCTTGGGATACTTCTAATTCCAATAGGACTATATGCCCCAGGATTTGCATTTGCATGACTATCAAAAAGAGAATTGGTTTGTAGAGGAAATGGCTGCAAGGAGATTGTGGATTCATTATTCATTAAAGAAACAGACATATTGTTAACATCTCCACTTAACCTCTTTAAAAAGCTTCTTTTTTAAAATTTACAAGTGTGTGTATATAGTGAGAGTTGACCACAAACCTGAACCATTATAGGATTAGGACCTGATGGAGATATATAAACAGCTGGCCCATCGTTTAAAGAAGATTCAGCTTGAAATGTTGACCTTAATCAGTTCAATTGTACATGATATAATAAGAATTTATGTAAGAATATAAAAAACACAGAATAGAGAGATAAATACAGATAAAGAATGAAGAGCATGTCCACTGAGAAGACGTTGTGCATGTCTCATAACAACTGCCAAAGCTGCTGGTGATGGTAAGCCACGACTTTTTAGTTCTCTTCCTTCTAACTCTATCTCGCCTAAAACAAAAAAGAAAAACTATAAATTTATAACAAAATAGAAAAGAAATAGAATTGTCAAATGAAAACAGGTTATTAGCTTACCAATCACCACCAAGAGGCTGAAAGTTAGCATTGTCTTTGGCTTCTCCAGTTGCAATCTGTTGTGCACGCCATTGCTGAAACACATTAAATAAACCATAACCAAATCAAATAAATTTATTTTCACCACATTAAATAAACAATTAGCAAACCTCAATCTCTCGTTGCTTTTTCTTCTCTAAAGCTTCTAAAGCATTTTCAGGTTCTTCGTCTTCCTCGTCTTCGTGTAATTCCTCTTTAACAGCTTTCCACTGCAACCATATCATATACTTAATTAATTATATTTCCCACATACATAATATTATTAAAAAAAGGAATTAATGGCATTCAGTACTAATCAAATATCACGTTGGTTCCACCTAGGGACATCTTTTAAAAAAAAACGTTTTACCACTCAACTTCCACTTATATGAAAATGTAAAAAGGCATTTTTTTAGCGTGTTAGACTACAGACTTGGCAATCATGTGATAACTTACTTACAACAACTTCAATAAATAGTAACCAACTTTCAGTTTTGTTCCACCAAGCAACCTCAATTTTTATAAAAGACTTTAACCCGTAATCAATTAAACTAAAAATTCTTTAAATAAGGATAATGTAATAAATTTAATTATGCTTTTTTAATGAAAACAACAACAACATACACATGGTTTTCTGCAAAGTCTTTGCTACTACTTAAAACTCTTAAATATAATATCTGTTTGTAACTGTATGATACAATTAATAAAGAACGACATTTCTGGATCTTATATATTATAAAAATAGAAAAAATAAAGTTTTATATGTAATTGATACGAAATTTTATTTTTCTAGATTTATAAAACTAGTAACATATATTTTACATTTGATTGTTACTAAATTTCCAACATCTTATATTTTTTTTATAAAATAGATAAGAAATCAAAAAATAAAAATAATGTAAGTAAGTGTGTGGTAGAATGAGGTAGCAGATAAAGAATGAGTTGGTTAAAAAATTTACCTTTAACTTCTGTAACAGGTTGAGGATCATAGGCTGGTTCGTTTCCTTGAACCAGGTCAACAGGGACTTCCCAAGAAGTTTGACCAGTCACAATGTTCCAGTAATAATATGAATTATTCTCCTCATGCAACACCATTTTCCATCCTGAATCCATATTTTCTGTTTGTGTGTCGGATGTCCATGACACAGTTGTCTGCTCCACTTCATCCATGTCTTTGTTTGAGGGCAAAACCATAACACCATTTTCTTACACATCCAATGAAGAAGAGTGCTCTTTCTTCTCTTGATCAGGTTTTTCACATGTAAGATTTTCATCTTTATCTACTTCTGTACCCGCATCACTGTCTGTCTTTACCTGCCATAAGATAAGCATGATTGCTACTTAAATATATTTACCACAACCAATTGAAAACTAGACATTCCAAAACACACTTGTTCATCAAGCTCGACTGGTGAATTCTCTCTAGTATCATGGCTCATTTCTTTACCAGATTCATCCTCCAATTCCTCATCGCTATATTGTCCAAGCAACAAAAGAGGATTTTCTGGCTTTTGACCTGAAAAAAAAAGATGCTAATATGTCAAACATCATAACAACAAAAATATGTGGGAGTGTAACTGTGGTTAGTTACAACTAATCTTCCAATAGATACTTAACAGAAACTTCTCATATTGGCCTAAGCTAAGAACAAAAACAAATGTGAAAAAGATGTGATTAATTTTGGCAAAATAACTTTGTAATTGCCACCTGCAACATTGAAAATGAGTTAGTAATTTAGAATAAAAACAAAAAGGCAAGAAACATACGAATCACAAGTCTTGTTGTAATGTCGTGGTAACAAGTGAGGAATTTCAATCAAAAAAACAATGTGGCAAAGTTGAACAGGCTCAGATGACCAATTGAGTTCCCAATACCACAACCACCTAACATTCTGAAAGGAATATCTTGGGAGAGCAAACATGGCTTGCTTAAAGTTCCACTACATAAAGTGTCTTCGCAATCTCAACAACTAAAATTGTACGCTACATCATTGAACTATATAGATAATCAAACAGATAGAAGGAGCATACGACATGATTACCAGAGGGTTCTGCTATAAGATCGAATTTTACTCTTCTATTAACTCTAGTCTTCACCGTCAGTCTACGCTCCTTTCTCTTTCCCATGAAGAATTAAAAAGTTCCACTGACAAACTTTTTGAATTTGATGAAATCTCGTTGTCCAATTTTAACCTAGGGCTAGTTTGTTTGCAGAGGAGATCGTATACTTTATCAAGTGCATAAGACGATACTCTGTTTTTTGTAAGGCGTCAATTGAGAATGGGTTTTCCGGGTGGTGTTGATTTGTGTCGTTGGAGTATGATAAACAAAAACCCTAGGTTCGCTCACAATTTCTCTCAGAGAATTGTAGTGAACTATCGATCTAAACCAAAATGGAACAAAATGTTGCTTAATTTTTGACTGATAACTATAAATGAACATGAAATCGAAAGAAAAATAAAACCTAGATCATCAATAAGAATGGAAGAATGACCTGACCAATTCGATACCAGAGATGTGAATCAAAAGAAGCAGTTGTGAAGACGAAGGCCCTGGGGCTTTTTCTTGCTAATTGGAAGAGGCGGGGGGTTTTAATTTTTGGGATCCAATAGGCGGGTGAAATCCTGCCTTAAAACGTGTGTTTCATTAAAAAATTATAAAGCGACACACTTAGATGACACACATTTTATGAAAGGCACCCTCCGTATTTCTTTTTTTATCTTTTCTGACACTAATTTTAGGGCACGCACAAATGCGTGTCCTCTATCCTTCAAATTTTGCAAAACTGACATTATTTTTTAGGGTACGCACAAATGCGTGTCCTCTATCAGCGCATATCATTGTTTGCGAGTCATTAAAGGGATGTTTTCTAGTAATGGTTACTCCTTCCCATGAATCTGTGACCAACTTCCCCCCAGCAAATTGGGGTACTACACCTCCAACCATACAAGAGCTCAAAAGGTTGGGCACCAATGCTGGAGTGATAGTTGTTGTTGTAGAACGCCGCAAGAGGTTGGTAGGAATACCAAATCCCACCAAAATGTATAACACAAGACCATAACATATCCTCAAGTGTCTGTATCTTCCACTCACTCTGGCCGTCGGTCTGTGGATGATAAGCAGTGCTAAAATGTAACCTCGTGCCCAGTTCCTCATGGAACGTCTGCAAGAATTGGGAAGTAAACTGAACATCTCGGTATGATGAACTGCTATCCTAATAGCTCTGAAAGCATAGAGGAAAACTCATGCATCTTGGATGGTGCCAAGAGGTACGACGCCTTGCAATCGGAACTGCACCGATCAAGCATGAACTCAACCTGCCTCTCAGGAGGTACATCGGGCAACTCCTCCCGAAACACATCAGCAAATTCCCTGACAACTGGCACCTCTGAAACCGAAGTCTGCTCCCCTACCCGAGTATCAAACACATAGGCAAGATAACCCATACATCCATGTTGAATATACTGTCGAGCCTTGGCTGCCGAACAAAATCCTGATCCAACCCTGGTACCCTCTTCGTAGATGACCAGTTCTCCCCTACTTGGGGTTCGAGCTACCACTCGCTAGCCCTCTCAATCAGTGATAGCACCAAACCTGCTCAGCCAATCCATCCCCACTATCACGCATACATCCCCATGGGAGTAGGGATCAAATCAATCAGATAATGCGCCCTGAAGAGCTCCAATACACAACCCTGATACAATCTGGATGCAGAAACCCTGTGTTCGTTGGCGATAGAAACCCGTAACGGGCACTCCAACTCGCTAAGGGGCATACCAAAATCCCTACTAAAAGATCGAGACATAAAGGACCGAATCGCGCCCGAGTCAAATAACACAAGAGTAGGAAAAGAGTTCACTAAGAATGTGCCTATTAGAAACATAAGCATAAGCATACCATGAAATAGTCGAGAAAATAATAAATATAAACATACCAGTCACGATGTCTGGCGCTGTCTTGGCCTCCTTGACAGTAAGCTAAAATGCACGGCCCCAAAACCTTGGGAGCTCCGCCCTACTCTGACGTCTATCTGTGATCCTCAGTGTGGCTAGCCCTGGGGCCAGCATCGGCCTCGCAGCAAGAAAGGGACAACTAGCCTTCATATGACCAACATGCTCACAATGGTAACAAATCTTGGTGCTCGATGGCGAGGCCTGCTGACAACATTCCCTCATAATGTTCCCCTCCCTGCCACATTTGTGGCATCCGGAAGAAGATCGGAAAGTACCATCATGAACCTTGCCGCACTTGACACAAGTGCGGCCCCTCTGACTCCCAGATCCCGCATCAGCGGGCTTGAACCGCTTTGCCAAAGGTTGCGACTGCATAGGGGCTGCCTCAGCTCCCTCTTCTAGAGATCCATCTCAATCTCACACCGCCTCGTCGCCACCTGCAACTCAATCAGTGAACCATAACACTTAATAGACACAAACTGGAGGATGTCCATCTTGAGCATGCTCAAGTACTGGGTCATCTGAGCTTTCTCAGAAGCAGGAAACTCAAGACAAAACATAGCTCTCGCTAAAAACATCTTGGTGATCTCCGTTACCGACTCGGTCCCCTGTGTCAGATCCAAATACTCTAGGGCCAGCCTCTCTCGCTCCACCAATGGAACATATCTCGAGCGAAACATCTGAGAGAACTACTCCCATGATACTGTTGGATAAGGTGTCTAACTCCATAACTATATTTGGTATGTACTTGACCCGGCATGGCATGGTCCATTTGGGTTGCATGGCATCGCAATTGGATAGACAAAATGAGAAAAGGACACTTATGATTTGTTAATATATTATAAGTTCTAATATATTGATATGAAATCATATTATTTAACTAGTATTGATCAAGAATTAATTTGGAATTAATTTTGTGATCAAAATAGACTAATTAAATATATGGGGATTGATTATGGAAATCATTCATTCTTATATAGTGGGCTTATGATCCATGATTCACTAGATTGGGCTAAGTCCCATTGGGTGCTCCATGGATGCTCCATGGAGGTTAAAACCCATGGATCATGGAGGAAATGAAAAGCCATGCACATTAGGGTTTACATGGTGTAACCCTACATGTGGCACACTATATAAAGAGCCTCATATGGAGCAAAATCGGTATCTAAGACTAAGAAAGGAGGGCTAGCCGATTTTGGTGCATATCAACCTTCTCTCAAGTTATTCCAAGTTGTTGGTGGTGTTGTGTGAAACATTTGAGGCATCACATTTGGGGTGCTAGGCTCACAAGGTCTTAAGGAATCCAAGCAACAAGAATGGTATGTCATTATACTAGTTTTTGTATTACATATACCCCAATCATATGCTAGTTAGGATCAAACCTTAGAAAAATTAATTTTGCATGTATAATAGAGAACACATAGATCCAAGGTTTTTAGGGTTGCATGCACACCATAGGAGTGTTAGAATGCTCAAAACCCATCAGTCGTATCAGAGCCTAGACTTGTTTTCAATTATACTTGATGCAAATTGCTGAAAAAATCGATTTTTCTGCTCACTGTTCAGTGAACTCACCGAGTCCATGGGGGGACTCAATGAGTCCATGTGAAAACTCATCCTACTCGTCGAGTAGGTTCTTGCACTCGGTGAGTAGGAGGCCCTGAGTGCATAATTTCGAGTTTTGTTGCTGGAATTGGACTAGGATCATTACCCTAAACTGTTTTTAGATTGTTAAACCTGTTTTTGATGTGGTAATGATTGTGCTTATCCAATTTCAATGATAGTTGTCAAAGTTTCAAGTTTTATATTAAGTTCATATGATTCTTGAAAATCTTTGATATGAATTATGCATGCTTATGAGTTTGTTAGATCATAGAAATTATTTGACATGCTTGTTAGTTTAATTGGTGATCTAAATATTTTTTAATGGACTCCATAACTTGTCCTCAAGTTATGGAATTTCAAAAGTCTTTTCCATTAAAATCATTAAAACTCATAAGTTATAGAAATGAAAGGTTTTGAATAGTTTCAAAACTTGCCCTCAAGTTTTGGAATTTGTAAAGTCACTTTAGAAAACTTTAATTCCAAACCGTAGAATTTTAAAAGTTCAAAATTCAACCCTTATACTTTATAGTATTATAAGTTAAAAATATATATATGTATAAGATCAAGTAAGTCTTACCGTTAGTAGGCCTCATTCACGAAGCCGGTCTATAAGGGGGGTATAAGGTTGTTGCCTATATAATGGCAGCTTAATGGGTGTCCACTCTCACCCACCGCTTCCTTGACTGGTGGAGGGTCGTTAGCCGAACGGGTAGGACACCGACTATAGTTCTCATTAAAAGTATAATGATAAATATAAAGTAACTAAACATTTATTAATTCCCAATCTTAGTTACTTTAGGAAAATATGAAATTGATGCCAACCCATTGAATTACACTTTGCACCTTGCTAAAGTCGTTAGTGGAGCGTGTTTGGTTAACCGGAACACTAACTTGGACTTAACAAGGGTGGAAAAGGGTGGCTTAAGGTTTATCATAGATCAATGGAGCGTGTGTGGTTAACCGGCACATCGATTAGGTGATAAAATTAAGAGTACCAAGTTAATTTGCATGGTTATTCACACCTTGTTTGTGATCCTCGGTATCGCAGTCATTAACTTTAAGGGCATAATCGAGATTTAAACATGCCATTGAATTGTTTAATGAATCTGAAAAGATCTAGGAGTTTCAATCCAATTAAAACCTAATAATCTATTTCGTTTTTCATGGTAGAAATTGGTAAATCGTCATTTACCTACCTTCAAATATTTTGTAGCTTGGATTACGACATCCCTCTTCCAAGTTATAAAATATTGTGTTGGGTTATAGCCTTAATATTTCATTTGGGTGTCTTATTAAGGACTATTTATCTAATCTAAACTTGTCTTTCTTCCTTTTCAGATGTCTTCCAACAATGCTTCTGGCTCAAACCCTTCTGAGTCCTTCTCTCTCATGAACCTTTGTGGGAGAGTCATCTTTGATGGCTCCAACTTCAATGATTGGATTAGGAACATCAGGATGGTCACTTGTTATGAGGACAAGGAATATGTCCTAGACAAGGAGCTGAAGGAAATCAATGAGTCTTCTGCTACTCCAGAGGAGATTGCTGAGTACACTAGCCATGAGAATGAT